CCCTCTCCCCCTCCCCTCCAGTAATAATCAGCCTCCCACTAGTCCCTAGGAATCAGTCATTTCTTCTTAAGAAAGAACAACAAACTAAGGGCTGGGGATTCAGCTCAGTGTACCTTGCAAGCACAAGGTCCTGAGTTCTATTCCCGGTGCTAGAATTAAAAAAGAAAAGAAAAAAAAAAAAGAACTGCAAACTGACTTGGGCTGAGTGATTCTCCTCACCCTGCATCCAAGCACATGCAAATAAACTTGTAACTCTTCATAGGACAGAATATTAAAGATTGAAAGAAACTTGTTTTTAGCCACCTCATTTGGTAAAGACCCTGAATCCTGAACTCTTAAGAGAATTATGCAGTCAAAGATCAGAACTATGCTTAACTCTCCCCCAGCAAAGATGTCTTTCTCGTCAGTATAGTGCTGCTCCCACTGCAGATGAATGTGTCTCATTAAAGACAAACAGCTTTCACCTCATTCTGATTGTAGTCTTTACCTTTTTCATTTTCCTCCCCTTGAAAAAAAATTCTCGAGAATTACCTGTACAATTAACAGTACTAGCACCCTCTTAATTATTCCTATGTTGAACACAGAGGGGAGTAGAAAAAACAGGTGAGATGGCAAAAGGACTAGGTTTCAGTTCATTTTGTCTCATGACAAATCAGGCTAGAAATTAACCTCCTGGGGCTCCTGCTTCCTTACAAGTAAAATTATTAAGTTACATTAGATTGACCAAAGCCCTTGCTCTAAAAACCACTAAGAAGATATGGCTTCAGGGCTCCCTTTGTACAAGAGGCAGAGTTATAGCACCTTCTCATGTAGTGTGTATTTTCCTTAATTCCTCCGAAAATGTCAAGACCAATGTAGTAAAAGTTATTTTGTAAACATGAGCTGAAATCATAAAGGAAGAAAACAAAGATGGTGTTGACTTTCACCAATATTGACATTAGGAGTAGTCACGAAGCCTAAGAAAAAGTAAAGCATCTTAAAATGATCAAGGTGGATATCAGATAGGCTCTCCATGATTAAATATATTTGAACAGTGACAACAACCCAATAAATTCTTTTTAGTATTTTGGAGACTTTTCATAATCATTGTTGAAAGCACACGAATCCAACTTTGTTTTTGGAGGTTCTGTTTCCTCATTTTGAAAAGTTTGTAAGGGAAAACCTTGTTCATCATTTTGGTTGGTCAAAAGCAAAAAAAAAAGCAATTGAGTTAAAGTTAGAATTATAGACTTACAAGGATGTAATCCTTGAAACTGATAATAGGGTGTATGATACAGGATCTCCAAATAATGTAAAGGAAATATAACCTGCTAGATAACAGAAACACTGAGTTTGTGTTCTCTAAAATCAAAGAATGAATTCTAGGAACAACAAAGATTAAGAGTACGGAATATTTTTGAGGGAAACAGCTCCTAAGAGGGACAGGAGGGACACCTGGATAGTGGGGAGCCCACCAGCCCCACTTCTCAAGGGTATTTTGAGCAAAGCCACAAGGTGAGGTGGGTTCAAGGTGGGACAAAACCATAGTCAACTAATAAGATTAAAAGTATAATCTCTAGATCCTAAAAAAAAAAAAAAAACACACACACACACACACACACACACACACACACACACACACACACATATATACACATAATCCCTTAGGTAGTGTTGATCCAATGGAAATCACAAGTTAGTTATGAGGTGGGACAAAACTCCAGTCAATGAATAAGATTCAAGGATAATCCCTTAGGAATATTGATCAAATGGGGAAGATAGTAATTTATCAGCAATCATACAAGGAATGAATAAGGATTTAAGGGAAGGAATGGGCTAGGGAGGTTTTAATCCCCACCCAGGGTGATTATTTAGAATATTAATCACTGTTGTTCATCCCTAGGGCAAGTATGTGAGTGTAGTTGTTCCTTTTGTGAATCCTGGCCTTCAATAAATGGGCCTCAACTGTCTTCTGTGTTGACTTCCTGGAAGGCCCATCCCTGTTTCCTTGCCTATAATATATCCAAGTAATTTAGCTGTCTGTAATAGAACCCCACACATACTTAAAGGATCCCCAAGATAGTTGATTGAATAGATATCTATTATTAATTTTTAACTGGTTTGTTAATTATATGTCGGTGCCTTTTTCTTGCAAAATCTTTTAAGTTATGATAAGTTACAAGCTCAAGTAATGTAGCAAGAAATAAGGGAAGTATCTGGAGAATAAATCACTTTGCTTCTAGGTATTTGAGGAGTATTTTGTAGAAAAAGGTAGTGACTGAGGATGTCTTTGAAAGATACACATTTCATGAACCGGTTCATTCTAGGTATGAAGGGGAGAAATGCTGGCACCTCTTTGGTCTTTGTAGACCACTTCTTCACCTTCAAGGAGGAAAATAAAGCACTGGTTGTAGCCCTCCCTAAGGCATCCTGACACCAGCAGACCATGAGGGTATTAGTTAACCTAATTAGTCTTGCAGAAATGTGTTTAAGAATGCATGAGCCTGTGGGTCAATGGCTAATTAATGACTGCCCATTTCCTTTCTCTCTGCTTCTTCCTCTATGGCCATAGGATGCTCTGGCAAGCTGTGATGTGAATGGGAATGACTTGGACCCAATGCCTCGTTATGATGCAAGCAATGAGAACAAGTAAGGTTCAGATGAGGGGTGGCTGGCAATGAGTTTGGATTTCTACTCATGCTGAAGAAAGTATTTTCTTCAAAATCTTTGGTAACAAGTGATCCTTAATTTACTGCAAGGTGAACAGGTGTGTTTTCATCAGTTTCTGAGAAGACAAAAAGGTGGTCTATATAGTAAAAAGAGGTTACGTGGAGAGCTCTGGGGGATGACAGTTTTTCCAGATCTTCACTATGAAAGTGGGGGAATTTACCCTCAGCAGGGTAACTAACCCATTCGTTTCGAGATAAAAATGCTAAAGGGGCAAGACAAAGTAACTCTCCAAAGAGTAATTTTATTGATGCTTCATTTGAGGTTATGGCCAGGGGCTTTCTTACTTTATTTCTCCTTTATTCTCTCTCTAAAAGATTGGGTTTTTCACTAATACACATGAAACGCCTAAGAATTATTGCCCTTCATGGAAGGTCATACTTTTCTTCTCTCCCTTCCCCAGTCAAGGGGCACAGTTTCACTTTGCAGTCAGTGGAGAAGGTTTTAGTGACTGCAAATGAAAAAGCACATCTATTTGATAACACAGAATATTTTAACATTGCTCAGTGAGTAAGGGGGGTTGTTTTCTGTTACTTACAATGACTCAGATTCTTAAAATGATTAGTAGCTATTTCTGATCACTGTATCATATTACCTTTTTTTCCTGTTACTGCAAATGTGATTTAGATACTTTCAGTATGAATTTTTATTTTTTATTTAAATGTTTTAGGTTGGAAGTTGGAAACACAATGTTTGGCCTATTTATTATGTGCAATTTACAATCTGCTTTTTTTTCCTTTAAGGAAAAATTTCTCAGCTAGTCCTTTTATTGTTAATAAGTTTAATATCATATGACCTAGGAGATGTCACTGTACATTTGTTTGTCTTTTCTCTAACCATTTACAAAGATGTATTGGTCTTTGTTTTTTTGTTTTGTTTTGTTTTGTTTTTGTAACAGGAATCAATCTCAGGACCTTGCACTTGCCAGGCAGTCAGGTACTGAGTTAAATCCTGGCCCCTTAGTGGTCTTTGTTAATATTCACAGCCAAGTGTATATGACAGATAAAATTCTGTGGTGAAAGCTCTCATACACAAATTGATAGACTTTCCCAGAACTTCCAAAGAAAAAGAGAAAGGGAAAAAATTGAACTGGATCATTTTCTTTTAGACCTAGTCATTACTGTCCAGATTGTAAATTGTAATGTTTAGTGAATTTCACACAAAGGGTTATAATTTCAGACAATGTGAGCCAGTGTTTTCAGCTCAATTTACAAAGTATCATGAAACACTGAAGAAGAGACTTGACTCTTCTGTGCTCAAAAAAGCGTCACTGGTAATATCTGTGTGGGGGCAAAGGAAATTTGGGAAATCTCTGTACTTTTCTCTCAGTTGTGTTGTGAATCTAAACTTCTCTTAAAAAGTAGTCTTTAAAACAAAAACATCACTGATACATTTCAGCATTTGGTTCATTCTGCTATAATGCAACATACTCATTCCTGAAAATAATAACACCCTGAAAAATCCTAAACACAGAGCAGTAAGAAAACTGAGGTGGAATCTAACACTAAAAGATGTTGTCAGTGACACATACACATATACAAGATGGGGATTTAATACAGTGATACCCCATTTATATACATACATACACACACACACACACACACATATATATATACATACACACACACATACATGCATGCATATGTATGTATGTTAAGTAGTTAATATACACACAAACTATAATAAAGGTGGTACTTTACCTTGAAAGACAACCTAAAGTGTATTTATGGAAGGTTGTGCACATAACACCTACTTCCATTCACAGGCCTGCCAACATGTGTGCAAGAAAAAAACAGTAAGAGAAAACAGGTAACTACCAAAGCTTTATTAAAATACAGAATAGAGAGGCACAGGCACAGAGAAAGCAGGGAACATTAAATAGAATGGAGGGTGTTCCCAGGATGATCCTGGCAGATCGCCCATGATTGTGAGGTGGAAAAAGGGTTATCTGTGATCATGTAGAAGTTGCCCCACAAGATACTTGCGGAGAAAAGAGAAACATTTAAACTATAGGAAACGCATAGTATCCGTGTACAGGATGTGGAGGGACAAGCATGGTTACAGGTAGAAACCAAAGACCACTGTGTTGAGCTCTGTCGATATTTGAGCCATAAAACAAGTCAAGTTGTAGCTGCATCTCCATGGGGTCCTTTTCGCAATGAAACTTGGTAGTGATGTGATTATTCTCCAAGGGTATGTCTGATCTGACTAACATTGCTTTGTCTGTGTGTAAAGACAATTGAGTATTGGCTTTGTACAGACTGTCCTTTTAAAGCTGGACTTTTTTTAAACTGGGCTCCCCCCCAAGAAAAATATGGGCCGTCAAGTTGTTTTAGTGTCCTGTGTTGACCAACATTCAGCTATGGCTCCTACAATGTCATAGGAAAATTGGAGGACACCAACATTCTTCTAGATGCGTGCCTAGGTTTATAGACCTGATAGTGAAATATGACATTTTTTAGGTTCAACACCAGCACTCGGGACCTCTGTTTTATGGAAGGCAGCAGTCCCCTAGGGTACCATATGTCATTTTAGTGCTTCTCGGTACTAATGCCTGATTGGTTTCCTTTTCCTGATCGAGAACATGTTTTCAGGCATTTATGGTTGAGATGTTTCTCCCCTCGTGAGATCAGATGAGTAAATATGAATGACACATCTTTCTTTAAGTGTGGGTCCATAAATAGATAATTCGTTTGGATAGTTTTCTCTTGGCATTAGGAAACACGAGTGCATTTGTAGGTTAAAAGAGTTGACATTTAGCCCTGGGTGTCCTTGATCAGCCTTATGTTTTTTGTGTCTAACTACTCTTGAGCTTTTATATTCTTTTTTAAATAGGTCCAAAAGGAATAATACGTACATTTAAAGAATAAAATGCATAAAGCACATCAAGCTTGTATAACTGGGGATAATTACAGCTGTTAGTGTAATTATGTGTTCTATTCATATATCTAATTCTTGATAATCAGTTGAAATTATAATTATCTCAAAACATGTGTAGATATGAACATTCCAAGTCCAAGCTAAAACTTGGAAATCTGTTTGTTTGCAAGGTTAGAGGTTTAGATTATCTTACTTCTCTGAGGGGGACGCTGTGGCTTATTCAGATCACTGTCTGAATTTTTCCCTCTGCCTTCTGTGAACTGAAACAGTAGTGAAGGTGCGAATTTCTAATCATCGTCAGAACAGGGACTTGAGGGAGACACTCTACAGATGCCTCCTCATCGCACAACCCAATCTGTAGGCTGCAAAGCATATCCGGCCTTCTTTCTTGTTCATTCATTCAACAAATGCATTGAGACCTTGCTTTCCAAGTGGTTTTGTGCTAAGTGTTTGGATACAGCAATGAAATGATGCGGATTATTAGTGGGTTGGACGGAGAAGTGACTTAGTTAGAATCTAATGCAAAAAAGATTTTCAGTACTAGTAGAGGCTGTACCCACAAAACTTCATGCAAATCATTTCTCCTAGATTTCAATGATTATATCTCTAACACCAGAGTTTTGGAGTGAAGAAAATCACTTCTGAACACCCCCCGCAAAGTAAAATTCCTTTCTTGTCACTTTTGCACATCCCCAAATGATGCCACGTCTAAATAAATGATGCTAAAGAAATAACATGGTAAGCAGAGACCATACAAACTTCGCTTCCAATTCAGCTTTGCTTTCATTCATATTAGCTCTCATTGTTGTGGGTATAAAATAGAAAAGGCCTCCTTACAAATGAAACAGTCTGCTGGCATTTCAAACCACTACTTCTATTTCTGATAAATGAATTATTGATGTCTGAGTTAGGTTGCTTTCTATTAAATGTTCTCCCTGCTTGAGTCATTGTAATATATTTGATGAGATGAGACCACTGGGTTTTCTTTTGGATATGTGGTGTGTAGCCCAGAATCTAATTCCTTTTCAAAATAAATCAACCCATAGGTGAAAGATTCATTTTCTACCAGGAATGGATTTTTCATTTTGTGTCTTATCTCTGTTTTCAAGGAAGATTTAACCAGGACAGATGGAAATACATTTCCTCTAGTTCTTTAATCTTTCACACATCATTTCTGGTTTTAAGAATGTTGCCATGTTGCAGAAACCAACATGTGTTTAGGCCTTCTCTTGTTTCTGCAAACAACTGTTGTCGGGAGATAGTATTCCGAAGCAGAGCCAATGAACGGACAGTATTTTGTGCTTACAAAAGAAATATACTACCTTAATACTTAGGGAGAAAAAACTCCCATTATAAGATCTATGGCCTTAATAGGTAGAAGTATTATTTCTCCATACCCTAGGATTTGACCAAGTTACAGTTAAAATAAACTTATCCTATAGCTGAATAGATCTGACAGAACCTGTCAAAGAGAGGTAGTAGTATCCTTATCAATGCCTTGTTTGTTTTTCCAGTTTTGTGTTTGATTTTTTTGCTAAATAACATCTCCCTCACACACTAAATATGTTACTTGGTCAGTGATTTTTTCAAAGAATTCATGTACCATTTATGACAAATACACATTACCAGAAGTTTAAAATGTAGAAAACGGGCAATTAAAATTTATATATGACAGTTGTATCTTAAGTCTTGGTAATTTACAAACTATAAACGTTTAATGCTTGGAAGGCTAGGAAGTCCAAGATGAAGGCAGGAGCGAATTCAACATTTGGAGAAGTTCCCTTCTTCATGGATGGCACCTTGTGTGTATCCTCACGTGGAAGAAGGGACAAAGCCTCCTTCAGGCCTCTTCTGTGAAGATACTAATCCCATCCACAAGGCTGTACTTTTAAGACCTCCTTGCTGCCCAAAGCCTCATCTCCTAACAGCATCTGAGGATGAGATTGCATCATATGCATTTTAGAGAGACACAAACATCCAGACAATAGTATTAGCCACAGATTGCACATTCATGAAATCACCTGCAAAAAGCCTCAGATACC